CCCCCCCCCTTCCCTCCCGCCCTTACTCGACTCTCCTTCCCGATCCGACAACACACAATTAGTTGCATAAGGCCTCTCCACTCCTCTCCAAATCGGTGAGATAATGTGCTGTGGTCTGCTTGGACCTGGACGCGAGCCGCCCCACTCCCCTTCCCCTTTTTCCACGGGGCAGCAGCAGCAGCAGCAGCAGCAGCAGCACACCGCTCTGTTACGAGTCATAAACCTGTTGTTGGGGGGCAGCCGTCCCGCCCCGAGTGGCCAGCGCGCCAGCGGCGGGAGACAGGCGGGCGCCCCGTCATTTAGCTAACTCTATGAGCGCGGCGGGCACCGGCACCGGCGGGCGGCGGGGCCCTCGGGGCGCGGCGGTGTGCACCGGTAACCGGATTGAGATCGGAATCAACCAGTCGCGGTGGGGTGTCCCCTCGCCCCACAACAAAGCACCCCCCGCTGACCTTGGTGCTTTTGCCCCCCTTGCTTATATGCCCCCGATGATGCAGGTCCCTCGAGAATAACGAGCTGCCCGTCGCGGACGCCGGCGGCCGGGAGGCGGCGCCGCTGCTGCACGTCACCTACTGGATGTTCTTCCCCTACAACGAGGGCAAGCCCGTGTGCGTGCTCGACCTGGGCCCGCTCGGCCCCTGGCCGCTGCCCCTGCTCTGGGGCTCGTGCATGGGCTCGTGGAAGCACTTCGGCGCGCACGTCGGCGACTGGGAACACGTCAGCCTGTCCTTCTCGGTAAGCACCCCACCCAAATTTTTTCTAAAAATAATACAAAATATCCATATTTTTTCAACTTTTACAATGGTTTAGGTATCCTTGCATGTGAATGATTGAGTTTTTAAAAATATTTTCGTATGTAGGACGTGCACCACCCGGACGCCATGTACGTCTCGACGCACGAGGCGGGGGGATTCTACCGCTGGTCCGGGGCTGCTGCGGGAGCAGCAGGCGCCGCCCCGGGGAAGGCGCGCGCGGCCCGCGGGGCCCGCGGCGGCCACCTGGTCCTGGAGCGGCAGGAGGTGCGCAAGGGCTCGGAGCTGCTGCAGCGCGCCTCCTTCCCGCCCGTGGCCAGGCTGCACCGCGCCACGGGCCGGCCCGAGCTGTTCGCTGCGCAGGGATCGCACGGCCTCTGGACCCGGCCGGGCGACCACCGCTACATACGGGTGCCGCGTCTTTACGACCACAGCGGGTGAGCAAATCTCAGATACACTACCAAATAAAATTTCAATCTTTTTTATTCAATTTTTATGTGTGATTTTTTTTTTAAATTGTTTTTTTTTGTCAATTTTTCAATTGTTATTACCACACATTTTCGTCGTAAAGTGCCTCACCTTTGGTCTATCGTACAGGTACGGCGTGCCGTGGCGGACGTGGGAGCGCCTGACGGTTCTGTACGAGGGCGCGGCCTCCACGGCGGGCTGGCTGCGCTTCCTGGGCCGCTGGGGCAACCCCCGCGCCGGCTGCCACCCGCTGTCCGCGGCCATCTGCGCGCAGGCCGACGGCCCCACGGGCATCCCCCTCAAGGGCAGGCCCTTCTCCTGCCCCGTCCCCCGCCCCGTGCCTCCCCTGGCCCCGCGCCGCTAGTCAAGCGCAGGTGCCTCCTAGGGATTTTAATTTTCCAAAAAAAGGAATTTTGGGGAATTTTTAAAAAGATTTTTTTTAGAATCCCTTAATTTTTTCCTGGCAAGTTTCAACTTTTTCCAATTTTTCTGGAAATGCTTAATTTTTTTTTCCAAATTTTTCGGGAAAAGTTTCCAAATTTTAAGGAAAATTTGGGACTTTAAAATCCTTAGTCCTGCCCCAGCCCCCTCCCCCCGCCGCCCCACGCGCAACTAAAGACTGCCCCTACAGACGTTTCGTTTCGGACTCGGTGCGAGCTAATCTCGTCTTTGAGCAGCCATAGCGCGCGCACCGGCTCCGCCACAGCGTAGACTTAGGGAGGCGATGAAGACTCGTCATGTACTTATCACAACACTATTTATTATTATACAAGCAATAAAAGTTGCATTTAAGGACGAACCTTTGCAGTAAGACTATTTAATGACAGCACACAATCGACCCCATCATTAGAAGAGGAGAGGCAACAAGCCATGACAGTAGTTCCTTGTGTACAATTTTTCAAGTCCATACACAATTGTGTTAAAAAGGGTACCACGAATACGTGCTTACGATTCCACTGCCAGAATCTAGTTCAAAGGCACAAAACCAGTTGCCGTCTCTACATCAATCATGTTTCATCCAAGGCCTGAAGCCGATACTTGCACAAAATCTATACATGGTCTGATATTTTGGCGAGTCCATGAGCCTCACTACTTCAGGGTCTAGTATATAGCATGTCAATGTTTTCAAGACTGACATAACACAGCATAATTGACACACATTTACAAATACTGCATTGCTTCTCTTTCAATAACCAATCGCACAACAGATTGAATATAGTTAGATTAGATTATCCCTTTCTTCAAATATAACAAGAAGACCAAAAATACAATAGAATCTGGTGAATTCATCACTCTATAAAGTTTCCAAATTTAATGATTGACTAATGGAGGAAGACACACATTCTTATAAAGCCAGGCTCATAACACTAACAGTTTGGATTATTTATCTATTTAATTAGAGAGTTATTTATCTGGTATTAGAACTAGAGAAATTAGACTAGTTTTCAGCAATTGAGTGGCTTGTACATATAAGTACACATTAAAATGAATTTAAAAAAAAACAACAAAACAAACTGGGATAGATAGAGGCTCAGAATTGCTGAATACATACATAGTTAAAGTCACTCTTAAGGGGTACAAACTTATTTAAATGCCTCATTCGCCCCCAAAATTTTAAGATCTAATGCATTGAATAATAGTTAATCACAGTTGGACAACAGTATAATATCTATATAGTAGTCAACTGTGCAGATCTGCAGTGATAACCCAGTGATGATATCAGAAAACAATACACTTTGATTTCTACTCAGATAGGTGGTATATTTACCAGCCTTTGAGATAGTAACAGATGTAACATGATTAAGTAACAATTCTATCAAAACTCAACTCAATGAATCTCTAAAAGGAAGAGAAGTTAAAGACTATATTGGGGTTTCCGAAAAGCGCAAAGTAAGGAACAACATGTTTAGGTAATGCTTGATAATTCCACATAATATGAGGCAGAAACATGTGACATTTATATAGATGTTTTTGTTTCCCAATAGAGCTTGAAATCATTTGATAAAATATGGATTTTAAGATCAGATATTTCATTAGGCTTTAGTTTAGCTAAAAGTCAAGATTTGCTTAAACTCTCCAACTGATTAACAACGTGCAATTAGTATTTATTGCTGAAGTTCCTCAACAACAACAAAAAAACTAAATTAAAAAAACAAACAAACATGAGTTTCAGTCAGCTTATGTGATGAATGATAACTACCTATTTTTATCAACTCTATTTCAATACTATGAATCCTTTTAGGAACTAGGCTCATCTTTAATAGCCATGTCGCTACAATTCTCATTCTTCGGTGAAACAGCTGGAAGCACCCTATTGATGTTGTCTTGAATTCCCTTGAGAGTTGACACATACATTTCAGATTTTACCTGTAATACAGAGAATAAAATAAAAACCTTAACGGCATGAAGTGTGCAGTTTCTATGTCAACAATTAAGATTGAAATTAACCCATAAACAGAAAGGATTATTAAGTGAAGGAGTACCTGTGTGCTGTTGAGTTGCTCAGTTGTTGTAAAAAGTTGATCATTCAGCTGTTCTACTTTGGTAGTAAGCTCTTGTACAGTACTTGATGCAGACTCAGCTGACTTCTTGGTTGAGCCTGTAAATAAAATTTATTATGTTCCATTCCCATAAAACACAATGAGTACCAGTGGGGGTTGTAATCACAGCTAGTTGTGGCCAAGTGTGTGGTCACATGGGACTCAACATTTTAAGAGAGATCTTGGCAAGTATGTTTGTACGATTAATGTTACTTACTCAATTCTTCTCTCAGAGATATTAGGATTGCCTCTGTATCAACACGAGCTTTTTCAGACCTTTTAAGTTGCTCAGTTAGCTTCTCTACATCTAGTAACCCTCCCTTAAACATAACAAAACCTGCAACAATACAATGTATTAAGTACAACAACATTCACATATCACAGATCAAAGACAAATTAAAACGTATGTACCTTCTGCAACATTTGAAGCTTGTTCACTCCTGTCAATCCTGGCACGTTTGGATGGTGGAGATCCACAGTCATTTAGTGTGAAAATGGGTAACAAACTTCTATTACCAACCAGAGGAACTTCAATGTCATTGGATTTGATATCATTGGCTGGCTCTTCAGCTGAATTTTCAGTAGTTCCATTTTCCTCAGGCTTCGGTTTGTCAGTCAACCGACGATAAAATAATGCCTCTCTATTTTCTCTAGAGTCTTTTAAGTCTTTGCTTAATACAGATTGAACTAAGCGCCGCACCTAAAAAGTTTAAGGGAACACTGGTGTTAAGAAGTATATGGTCAGATAAAAAAGAATTACAAAGAACATTTATACTCACTTGGGCACGAGAGAGGTTTAGTCCTAAAGCATACATTAATTCTTCCACATCTTTATCCAAAATGTAACCACAATGGGACTGATCAAAATAAACAAATGCCAACAAGAGTTGGGGATTGATTGTCATCATTTTTTCCTTTTTCTTTTTCTCCCTGTCTTTACTGTCTCTGTCCTTGTCTTTTTTATCTTTGTCTTCTCTTTCCTCTCTACCATCTCTACTTCTCTTGTCTCCATCCTGGAATTTAAAATACGTAAGTATTAGGTAAACTTTAATCTTTAAATAACAAAGGAATACCTTTAAAAGAATGAAAAATAAGACTGATTATATAACACGCAGTTGTATCATAGAATTTTACCTGTGAGACTTCCTGCTCACTAAGGTCTTCAGTAATCTTTTCAGCATCCGGTTCTTTCTCCGATTCTTCTTTATCATCTCCCTCTTTCACAGGTTTTTCTTTTTCTTCCTTTTCTTTTTTCTCTTTTTCCTCTTTCTTTTTACGTTCCTAATACCATAAATTGAAATTTTTAACAAATTTGAAAAACAAAAGAATATCTACTTACTCACATGCTAAGTCTGTAGTAAACAAGCATACCTTTTCACGTTCCTCTTCTCTTACTTTTTCAGCAGCTTCATACAATGATTTGTAGATACGGAATCCATAATCTCTCATAAGCATTTCATTAAATAACTCAGCAAAGATAGAAACTTCAAAGGAATGTTCCTGAAGGGGTAGGAACCACAGAAATTTTTAGAATAATGTAATGCAGGGAAACAATTACACACTGTGAAGCTTGATCACCAAAGAAGTAGATAGAAATACAGCATACCTTTGTATCATCCTGCCGATAGTCCAAAAGCAAAGAAAGAGACATGTTTGTGCAATCAAACTTGCCAGATTTTGCCAATTTATTTGGGTGGACAATTACATGGGGATGGTCAGGCAGCTCATAACGTTTCTCTAGGACCACTTTTTCTTTCTCTACTTGTTTCTTTCTCTCTTCATCCTGAACCAAAATAAAAAATTAGAATATTATCATCATATCTGAACCACAAACTGACCATCATTGTCATCACTCATAACTCACCTCTTTCTTTTTATTTTCATCGTCTTCCATCTTGTCTACTGTCTTCTCAACTTCCTTGGGAACCTCTGGCACAATTTCTTCTGGAACTCCTTTCTCCTCAGCTTCTTGTTCGGACTTCAGGGCCTTTTGCAGTCTTGCAAGTAACTGATTCTTCAGACCCTTGGAGCTCATGCTACGTGCCTCTAATTCTTCACGCAACTCTGACACCTTAACATAAATTGGAAATAGAATAGAGGATTTCGTCGGACACAACATAGTGAGTAAACAACAAAAACATTTGGATGTAAGGTAAGTACCTTCAACGATTTTGTATCAAGACGATTCCATGGAGTAGGCTCCCTTTTGATGACTGAGGCCTCTTCACTCTCCTAGGTTAATACAAATCAAAAGTTAGATGATGTGTCTGCTTATCAACAACCCCCAACAATCAATTGTGCAAACAAAATCCAAAAGGAAAAAAAAAATGATTGATATGAAAAAAGGAAAAGAACAGAGATAGGACAAAATGTTCTGAAGCAAACTGTTGGCATAAAGGAAAAGAAACAGTGCTCCATCCAAATAAGTGCATGAGAATCTAAAAATTTTGCCAAGAGTAAGAGCAGAGTGCCATTAGTATTTTGTCTTCCCCTTTAATTGTTTTATCATATAGATATTTAGAAAGATATCTGTGCACCACTCAAATCTAGGACATTAATTTATCTTTGATTTAACATCCTGGAAGTGATGGTGACAAATAAATACTACATGAGCTGAATTGCAAAGCTTGAGTTTGATCTCTTTGTTTCAAAGGTATTGAATGCTCCCAGTCCTGTCCTCCTTGCTTAGAGTCGTTGCTATGTGTTGGCCACCTCACACTCAATGAGCAACCAGAAAGCTAGGGTGTGGGCCCAAGGTCCTGCAGTCGCGTAGTCACAAGGAGCGCAGGGAAGACACAACTTATGCTAGACTTAGGCTATAAACATGAGAGGTCAATGCCTTTTCATCAACGGTGGCTGCATCCTCGTCGTAGTCGATCTGCAACAGCGCCTTGAGCTTGCGATCCAGCTGCCGTTTGTAGTTGAGATGAAGCCCGTCCCACTCCAGCCTGGTTGGCACACAGCTCCAAACATCTGGCAGAAAGAGTACCACTGTCTCAACCCGCGCCGCCACCAGCTTGCCCTTGTGAGTAGTCTCGCCTCGACGGTAGTAAATCTCCAGGAACCGGTACCTGTCATGAAAACGCACAACATTCTAATGTTACTATGATGATTTCAGAAGTAATGTCAGTTTCTCCTCCATATCCAAGATGATAACAAGGAGACCCAGATGCAATCCTAGGATGACAGAAGATTGACGTGATGAGCAGAAGTGTGGACTTATCCTCACTGGAGCGTGCTTCAAGCTGTAAATTTTATTCCTTCACAATTCAAGCACGCCCAAGCAGAACAAAATAGGACATGATTGGCAAGTCTCATAAACTGGTTCTGTACTACAATAAGTTCTAGTCAGTGAGATCATCAAAAACATACAAGTCCAGTTTCCAATGAGCAAAGGGGGATTGTCATGAGTTAAACCCGTTAAACCCCAAAGAATACTTGTACATGTACATCCATAAGATCAATAGGAATACTTGAAAGTAATCCTAGTTCAAAAGTAGAAAGGATGTGATTAAATTTAGTCATAAACTTTTGCTACAAGTTGAACAAATATACATTTTTTGCCTAAAATCGTCGCTGGAAAATATTTCCCTTCTACCTTTTCAGACAGAGCCCAATATGATGGATTAGTAAAAACACGTGATAGTTCAAGCAACTTACCACTGAGTGCAGGTAGACAGATCAATGCCTGTGAGTGCCTGGCAGTTCCGTATGGCAGTGCGTATCAGAACTTGTGGGTCTTTCTCAGGATTAGGACCATCAAGAGAGGGACTCCATGGTCCTCCAATTGCCATGGTCTCATTCTTACCACGAAGACCAACAAGAAAGTTGACAAGCCTGGTTGGGTGAACAAAATCACGGCCCTCTGCTTCAGATTCTGGATCAATGTCCTCACTCATTTGGCAACACTTCTTTAGAAATTCTCCCATTTGAGGCATACTCATGAGCATAACCTGCATTTTTAAAAAAAGTTTAGTGAGAGATATAAACACGTAAAGAAATGTCAGTTTAATACAATACCCAACAAATTACCTTTGCAGAAAACAAATAATCAGCATCTGGAGGGTCTAGTAGAGCTGCGTTATCAGTCAGAGGCTCCGTGTCGCGATGCATGATGTGGAAAGAACAGGGCTGGTCCATGGTAAATGGATTGTTTGGGGGAAAGGCATCGACCCAGCGAAAGTTAGACAAGAAGAAATCGGAGGGGATATACATGTTGCTGTAACGTCGTCGAAGCTCAAGAACATCCGCGTCCGGACTGCAAAAAAAAAGAGGCGTTAATTGTCTATATGATTGAAAGTTGAAATGTAATAGGAATCAGCTGGGACTGTAACGACCCAATAAAACTTACACATCCAAGGCAATCTTTGGCACATGAACCATGTAGCGTGGAGCCGGGCGCACGCGACGCTTCCTCGGGCTCTTGCTCCTCTTCCTGACAGAGGGACTCCTGGTGGACCCTTTCTCTTTGTCCTTATCCCTCTCTCTTTCCCTCTCCCTTTCCCGATCACGATCCCGATCCCGCTCGCGCTCCCGTTCGCGCTCACGATCCCTTTCACGATCCCTGTCCCTGCTGGGATAAAACATGTCCAGAATTATCAAACTTATACTTTCCACAAGTGTTTTAGGAAGAAAGCTGAGCAAGTTCCATCATATTTTAAGAATTAAGTTACTTTGATCTGTCGTTGGAGTCTCTCCTTCTCTTGCGGTCGTCATTTTCCTCTCTGGAATCCGCCTCTCTGCGAATACGGTCTCGACGTGGGGAGCGGGAACGAGAGAAATTATTCATACCAATATCGTCTGAACGGTCCACAACTGAAATAAATAAAAAGAATTGAACATCTGGAAATGTAAGGTTTCACAAACAAGCAGATGAAATTAGGAGAACATACCAGGTGGTGGAACAGAGCTGTAATTGTTGGGAGCATCAGAAAAACCTTTGCGAGCTACAGGAGCAGGACCTTGATTTTGCAAAGAGAGCACTTGCAGTCTGGTTGCATTCCACTTGAAAGGCATGTTAGGATTGAATGATGCTTCAACCAGCACTCTGTCTCCAATTTGAGGATTTGAGCCCTTCACACAACAGCTGTTAAAAGACCATCACAATCAGATCAAAATATTACAGAAAACACAAACATTAAAATAATTTAACTGTCGAAATTCACTTTACCTCATTTGAAAAAAGACATCCTCGTCCACAAAACCAAAGTTGTCATGAACCTTTGTTACAGTACCAGTAAACACTCTTTGTTTTGGTGGTTGATTGGAAGGGGGCTGCTGATTGGGTGGGAGTTGCTGTGTTACAGGGCCAGCACCAAAAGCAGTCGAGTTCAGGGCTCGAGGCACAGGATAACTGACTGTAGAGGATTGGCCATACAACTGTGAGGACATGAGAACAAAAAATTTAGATTGACAATTCTCTCAAGTTAAATTATTTACAAAAGCACTAAGAAATAGATGAGGATTCATTTACCTGAGCAGTGTTCAAGCCTGGTAAATTTACAGATGATTGGTTCAATTGAGGCAACATGTTGCTGTTCTGTAAAAAAAAAAAAGAAAAAGAAATAGAACACAGCAAGATTAGATAAATTCTTGACATGAAGACATCACAGAAATGCATATTCCATACATACAGCAACCTGTTGGAGACCCATGGGAGGCTGGAACACTTGAGACTGCTGTTGATACATAACTTGCTGACCCAACTGGTTTATCATTTGTGACTGCAGCTGTTGCTGAACAGTGACATTGCTGACATCTGAAGAAAATGACAAAACTATTAAAATCACAAAAGATATAGCACTAATTTAATGCCACAACATTTTCAAAATAATGATCAGTGTAAAACATAAATAGCAAAAAAACAAACAAAAAAACTTGCCTGTGTTACGAGCCCATGGCGGGTTTTTGGACGCAGAACCATATTGCGACATTTTCGGAATTTTTTCAAACCTAAGGAAAGATATTGAATCAAAAAGATTAAAATAAAGATTAAACAATTGTTACAGGTGATTACTAGCTTTTGAATTTGAATTTTGGACTAGTTCAACTAATAGTTACATATAAGATAATTTGATACGAATGGAAATCCACAGCCAGATTAATATTAAACAAACATTGACTTCGCTTTCCATTAAACAATAAGCGACAGCCAGTATCCGGATAGTAATTAATCTACACTTTAATGAAGAGAAACAGGGTTAGAGTGGCCTGTGGCAACGACACAGTTAGCGTGAGGTTGGGATCCCCCGGGCGCATATAAACATTAGAACGGAAGAGGATTAAAAGAAAAGAGGCTCTTTGAACTGACAATATCATGGGTTACGTGTACAACACTTAACTGACTGCACACTTTGTCAAGAGGAAGCCAAGCCAAGCGGAGGCACGCGAACCGCATAGCCCATCATTCTTTTTGAAGGAGCGTGACTGGAAACTATTAACTACGGTACGGAAGACAGCGGCATGAATCAAGCGAAATATTAGCTAATCTTCATACATTACCATTCACTATATGTATGCGAGGGTTGTAGATTAATTCATTACACAACAAACAAACGGGGGTAAAATGTTGACATCAACTCATCCTCTGGTTCGGTGCCCAAGCTCACGGCCGCTTAGACGGATTGTGACTGGTCAAAGGTGCGGATAGTTAGCAATAAAGTAGTAAGTTAGTGGAGTTTGTCTTGGGTTCGGTATGTTTGTACATGAATTTTAGTGCAGTACTTTATATTTTTAAGCTGCTCTTTGAGACTTAAGTGGTTTAAATCGAATGATCTACTCGTCTAAACCGCATTTGTCGTCTGCTCGTCAGACCCCGGATGCGGAAGTCTATCCTTTGCCGCTGGTCCAAAACAAAAACATACAATTGCTGTCAGATGCCATGACAACAGCAGCTTACACTTTGATCAACTTTTCTTGGGTCATTTATGATCGTGTGGTGCTGTAATGCATCCGCGAAAATCTTTATCGTACCCACAGTAAGATTCGCTTGCCTGCCATTTTCAACATTCAACGTTCCTTCCAGAAAAAAAATAAATGATGTGCCTCTCTTTCCTTGCAGATGGGTGAAGTTAGGCAACATACAAGAGTTTTCTTTTGTAGGAAAAGATACTGTCGCTGTCGGTTGTGGCTGTCATATACTGTTTTATTCCCTCGACGGCCATGTGGAAAACGTGTATATCGCAAACGGAAAACAAAGAGGTGATGGAGTTGCTTGCATTGCAGGTCATCGCACCGCTCCAATATTTGCGTTGGCGGAAAAATGTCTTAACCCAAGGATTTTGGTATTTTCCTACCCAACTGTGGAGGGTCCAGTGTCAACATTAAGAGGTGTTAACAAATTGTTCAATTGCGTTGTGTGTTTTTTTTTTTTTTTTTTTTTTTGCTTTGTTGTTTATTTGTAATTTTTTTAAATTTTTTTTTTTTGTTTAGGAGGAACACTAGGAACATATATTTCAATGGCATTTTCTGAGATGGAGTATCTAGTAACTCTCAGTGGAGTGCCACAGTTCTCCTTGATTGTATGGTGCTGGAGAACTGGTGTTCAATTGGCATGCAAAGAAACAGGTATTTTCAATCCACAACAGCAGGTAAGGTAAGCTTGTTAAAATAAAAGAAGTAGAACAATGCCAATTTTTAAGGTGAGTCATTTTGAGACAGCAACATTTTGTCCCAGCTGCAGTATGAGTTCGCCTTCTATTGTCAGCCACATAATAAAAGGTGAAAGCCGTCTACTGCTTTGGGAGATCAATATGTGTGCCAAGCTCTGCTGTTTAACCAGCAAGGAGGTGGAGCTACCTTCTGATGTATGTCCAGTTGATGTATGCTTCACAAATGATGGGGCTCTATTCTTTGTTGATGCACATAATGATGTATACCAGGCAAGTGCTATTTTTATTTTTTTTTTTTAATTAACAATATCAGGTATAATTAACTGAAAATTTCTAAATAACTAATATTTTTTGTTTTGTCAGGTAGATTTAGAGGATAATAAGGCACTCAGGCAGACTTGGAAATTAAATGAAGGTGATGGAGTATTAACTGAAGAAGAGGAGGGCTTTGACACACCTTTGAATAAGTTATTTGATGGAGTGATTGACCCCTGTATGACTTTTTGTAAAAGTGGTGTTCTAGTTTTTGAGCCACCATCAAAGTTGAGAGTAAGGAAATTTCTTCCAGTTTTAAGAAAGACAGTCCTCAGAAATCAGAATTGAATGTGAGACTTTATTTTCAGTTCCATAAACGTTTTGGGGATTGGTCTCAAGCCTGGACTCTTGAAGTGATGAGCCCAATATTTCGCCTTATATATCTTCCTGAACCTGATGTTATTGTGGGATGGACTCAAAAGGTCAGAAAACATTACAGCTAAGTTGGAAGAAATGGTCAAAATTCAGTCAGGTAAAATGTCTCTCCGTTACAGAGTGAACTTGTTCTAATTGATTATGGAAAAACACCTAAAGTATCAATTTTGAAATACTATGGTACTGGCACGATAGATATGGAGCTCATCTATCCTGATGGCAATACAATTGCAAGTGTGAATACTTTTGATGAAGTTCAAGTCTGGGATAAGGAAAATGGTCACTTGGTAGGTCAAATAATTCTTTGATTGATTGAATATTAGTTTGGATATAGAAATAAATAATGACTTTTATTAAATGAAAGATGGGTGTTTATGACATCCGTGAAGCTGCTGTACAGAGCCTCAGACCTTCTTCGGTTTTCAAAAGTTTAAAATCAAACCCTCGCTACCCTTATGTTGCCATTGCTATGACTGATGGCTTACTACTGCTGGTCAGTATTCTTCATCCAACTGCACCTTCAACACTAAGCAAGTTTTTGTTATGTGATGATGAGATCTCACTTGTGTGCTTTGCCCCAGCTGGGGATGTATTTGTCGCTTTTACAACTCACACTGGGCAGTTTTTCCTCATTCAGGTAAGAGAGATATTATGGTTGTGCAGTATTTTACCCTAAACACTGAACTATTTTAATTTTATTTTCTATTTTAGGGTGTTCCTGGTCAAGTTTTACAAGTTGTAGCACATATCTCACTAAATGTCCCTGTGGTGGACTGCATACTTCTACCTGATGAACAACCGGTTTTGGCCATTTTGTTTGCCAGTGAATCTTGCAAGACCATAGGCAATCGTGTAGCCCTGTACACATTGGAGTCAGATGGACTTCATATGGACTCCGAGTCCCAGCTGGAGCACAGTTACACTAAACTTGTTGTGAACACAGACAGGACAAATATCTGCTTTGGATCCTTGCATTGCTCTAGAAATATTCATGTACTGGAAGTGAAAAGAAAGGTGTGAGATTATTCCAATTTCAATTGCTTTGGATTGCTTTGGCCATTTTGAAACACATGAACATTTATTCTGCAGGCTGGAGTGATTTTGAGAGACATTGAATTAACTGGACATCAGCTGCGTTCAGTATTCATGTCAGAGAGAGTTGAATATGGACTGGTCACTTATGGAATGGATGGTATAGTGATAGCTCGGCCTATGGGCTCAAAGCAACAGTTCTACATTGTGCTGCCCCATCATCGATCTGATTTGGGAGTGGCAAAGGCTTTTCAAGATCCAAAAGGAGAATTTATTTTGTCATTAGGCAAAGATAAATCTCTTGTATGCTCAAAACTAAAGTAAGAAATCATTTTAAAAATTTAGAGATATTTTAAAGTAAGCCAGTTAATAACTTGGATGATTTCTGAATGAAACAGACGAACTGCCAACTACACGCCAGGACCCACTGATCCTAGTCCAGAGATGGTGGAGAAGTTTGGGGAAGCAACCACAGGTTTCTTCCTTGAAGGTAAACATAATTTATTTTTGCAAATAATAAAAAAAATGGCTTTAATTAGCCAATTAAAATACAGTAATTAGCCTCACATTTCAGGAGATAATTTGGGCATAACTTGGCTGCAACACAAGGAAAAGTTGCTGATAGCAGAAGAGCAAAGACAGTCAGCTAATGAAAGAACGAAAATACTTGAAGATTTTAAAGAGCTTCAAAAAAAGGTCCTTAGAGGTGGTGAGTTAAGCCAAAAAGTATGTATTCTATTATTAAATATTTAAATTTTGACTAGGTGGTCAAGATGCTGGATGACAATGAGCAGTCTGGACCTGAAGAGCGGCTACCCATCTCTGCATTTGATCTTGATAAAGATGCCCGTGAATCGGCAATGGAAGAAGGCAGGCAAGAGAGGGAGCGCCTAAAAGCTTATACTATAGCCAAAATTGCTGTGCTGAATAGAAAAAGTGACTTGATAAAGGAACACTGTTGGGAGCCAATGCATGTGAAGCCGACTAGTATAGAGGTATTTCTTAATCAGTGCAATAGTTAAATTCTTTAGTTTCTGAGCTAAGCTTGGTTTATCTTTTTTCTGTTTAGTCACTACAGTGTAACTACAAGGTAGACAATTATGCTCTACCGCCAGAGACTGAGGAAGATCGACAAGAATTAGAAATGGTCATTGCTGTACGGAAGATGGAGATGGTTGCACAAGCCACAGATTCATTTCATCCATGGGTTTCAAAAACAGACAGGTACCCCCTCCTTTTTAAAGAAATGAGGTTTTTGTAGTACAGTGCAGTCGAGTGGTTCTAACCCACTATCATTTTTAGTGAGATGGCAATGCAGATGTTGGCTGCTCCTTCCGCTATAACTCTGATGGATGAGGCGGCTCGCTTACAGCAGGCTTTAGCGGAAGAGCAGGAATCAGGAGCAGGAGACTCAGCGGAGCATGATGGAGAGTCTCAGTATGTCATGTGTGGGTCATCAATCTACCGGTACATAGAACCATCTGCATACCACATTTCCCAGTTTGAGCTAAACACGTACATTCAAACAGCACATTCAATTGTTCTACTTCAGGTAAATCCCCTTACAGTTTTGTACCAGCTTTGTTAAAAACGTCAACTGATGTCTTTAAAAAAAATCTTTTTTAGAAAGACATAAGGAATCTACATGAATGGTTCAACAGCCAATTTAAAGTATTCTTCCATTCAAAAGAAAAAGAAGTGAGTACAATCAAGCAGCTCCACGAAGAACTGCGGCATATTTTTAAAGAACTTCTACTCACTTGTGCTGGTAAGCCACAGAGGGGAAAAAAATCATTTTGGTCAAAACCCGAAAAAGTAAGCACCAGTTTAATTTTACCTTGTGTTTCTTTTAAGTGAAGCACACGGATTCTGACCCAATCGACCCAAAATGGACACAATATGAAAAAACAGAAATGTTGTTAACAGTTGAAGACAGTGAGGTACGGCTGATACCCTGTGTTACTGCGTTCTAAATAAAAATAAAAACTGTTCTTTTTTGGAGAGCAGGTACCAGCTGATCCCTATGTTTCACCAAGTGAACTGGTGCTGCGTCAACAGCAAGCTGAAGAAGAAGAGAGAATGCGGCTGCTGCTACTAGCTGATAATTTTAGAGAACTTGCTTTAATCAAGATGATGGACGGTGTTCTTGAAGTTAAGTACGAGGATGAGTTGAAGAAAGAAATACCCAAACCTAAATGCATGGTAAGTTAGGTATTTAAAAGTTACTTAAATTTTTTTTTAAAAAACTTTAATCAGTTTAAAATTGTAATCTTTTTAGTTGCAAAAAGACCCTGAGGAGTACAACGAAGATGACTTACGTGAAATAAAAGAATATGAGGGGCTAGTTCAAGCCCGCCTGAATGAAAGACAACACTATAGGAAAATGCTGGAGTCACAATACAGACGGGTCAAACACACACTGAAAGTTAGTCTTTTGTAGCATTTCTGCCTGGAATGTTTCATTTTCAGTTTTATCCAAAATTTATATCTATAACTTTCAGGAGAGCTTGGGGAAATTTGAAGAAAAATTGTTGGATTTCTTCAATTTAAAATTAAGGGTTGAAGCTTCCTGCACTCAACAAACATTACAAATACTGAGATCTCGATTATTAAATCCAAAGCGCAATGTTTTGGTTCAAAAAGAAGATGCAGCAAGGTAAATAGGTGGTGTTGGTTCATGGCAATATTTTAACAAATAAGTGCCATTTCTTAATTCTTCCTTCTTTAGGGATGCTATTATGGCAAATCAAAAGGCCTTGGCAGATGAGCAACTGCTAGTTGTACAACTACAGGAGGCTACAACAGACTGCCGTTGTGCTTATGAAGCACTAATATCAAAAGACAAGAGCTTAGATGGTAAATTTAAGAAAGAATTTCCTGAGTTGTCACCTATGATGGCAGAAGTTGCATTTAGACTTTATAGGTTTGTATCCATCAATTTTGGAAGTATGTGGTATAAACTTAGGAGAGAGTCTGGTGATTGTGTCAAGTTAATGTTCCAAATAGACGCCGACCTAAGATTCAACCAAAATCTCTGGTCTCATCTACTCTATTAAATGAACTGGGTAGATGTGCTGTGGCTTGCAAGAAACCACCTTACTTGCCACCTGAATGTTTGGATGTACTCAAAGGCATTGATTTCCTTGATGGTGCAGCTAATGCCCCACAAAATATGCAACCTGACACTTGGGCAAATATCTGTCGCTTAAGGAGGCAGAGAATAGAAAGTGAATTCAAGGTAATTCTTATGGTATATGATATGATGTAAAAATGTTTTTACAGACTGCAAATTATTCAGAAATTTTGATTCCAGATAAAGGCTCTTGCTCTTCAAATAGCAGAGGCAGAAAATACAGTAGGTATTTTTCAAAAAAGCACCAAAGCTCTAAAAGAAAAAGACAAAGAGCTGCAAGCCAACTTGCGGGCCATTCAAGAAGAACAACTCCTGTTTGAACATGATGTTGAAGTGAGTTTCGAGGTTTTGACCATTTAACTTGAGATGCGCAGTGTGGCTATGACTATATTGTTACCATCTTATTGCTAGGTCCAAATAACACTGCAGCAAGGTCTTGTGGAGATACCACTGACGGGCTCCTTGAAGGACTACAACAGTGCTATCCTCATTAATCGCAAGGAAGTTGCACACATAAACAAAATAATTAAAGTAAGTGACAACAAGCTAGAATTCCATTCATTAATGCTCTACTAGTGTCATTTTAAATATGTCAGTTTAAATAAAAACAATTCCTCAAAATTAAGGAGGCTGGCCATAAAAAATTGAAGGCTATGAGAGCAGCTTGCAATTTCCGACGAGGTATAGTCTTTCAAGAATGGGAACATCAAAAAGTCAGAATGCACATTGAGGACAAAGAGGAGGAGCTGAAGGCAATTGAATCTGTTAAGGTATCAAAGGAACTTGAAGAAATAATGATTGCTTATTGTTTTGTACTCTTACCATGTTAACACATTCATTTCGAAATTTGACATCAACAGGTGATTAAAGAATTACAGGAATGGCTCCACAAGAGACAAAGAGGAACACTACCAGGGAGGGGTGTTCTCACTTTAGATAAAGAAATATCACGCATTAAGGCAGTATGTATTCATGGCAGACTGAGCCTTTTAAGATAATAAATGAATGTAGCGTTCACAGTACGTTTTCTCTCCCTTACAGGGCTTTGAGAGGTATATTAAGCTGCTTAATGAAGTGGTGGAAAGGTATGACAAAGTAATTCAGAGCAAGAAGACCGCCAACAGAAGGGTTGACAAGGCTATCACAGAAATGAATGTGGAGGTAAACGAGCTTCAATTTGGAAGAGACTTAGAACAAGAAAAGCTGAGAAAAGAGAGCCACCGGAAGAGGTAAGTCAATCAAATTTAAAGCACTCATGTGAACATGGGTCATTTGAATTGCCTGACCTAGAGGAGCTACTTCTTCCAAACTGACATTCAATATCTTTCCAATTTGTAGGATGGAGACAATTATCACAAGGACCAAACTGGTCAGATCTGTTCAAGATATTCACATGGACATCATATCTTTAGAATCTGAGCTGGATAGTCTACGTATGAGAACCTATCCTATACTGGAAAACGCTAATAAGAAATACAGAAGATAGGTAAAAGAAAATCTCATGTGGATTTTAGAAATAAATTTATTGACCACTTCACAGCTTAAATTATGATGTCTCCATGGCGGTAGACTCTTCAGAATATTTACCCTTGTCTTTGCCAAGAGCTGCAAGGCGGCCCTTCGATCTTCTGTCAATGATGTTCTTACGGTCCTTGTCAATCTTCAGTTTAACAATCACACACTAGAAAATGAAAAAAAGGAGGAAATTAGCCAAATGTCAATATAACAAGTTTCCTCAATAAGTACACTGGATATGATCAGAGCCTTAATTTGCACCATCATACAGGTCAGACTATGATGGATCACTACCTGACAGGAGAACCCTGCCAGAAGTGCCCCAATCACGGCCTGTAACCCTGTGTCTAAGAATGGTTTGGGTCATCATTTCAAAATTAAACTCCAGGACCTGATAATGACATCTAGTTTAGATCAGAGCCTTAATTTGCACCATCATACAGGTCAGACTGAGATGGATTACTACCCAACAGGAGAACCCTGCCAGGAGTGCTCCAATCACTGCCTGGAACCCTGCGTCTAAGAATGGTTTGGGTCATCATATCATAAAACAATTAAGGGCCAAAAAAACGCCTTGACACAATACTACAGTCCTTACAACAGGACCTAATTAAATGAATCAGAGCCATAAACTGCACCAGTATGCAGGTCAGACTGCAATGGTTTACTATCTGACAGGAGAACCCAGCCATAAGTGCCCCAGTCACAGCCTGAGAGCCTGCGTCTAAGAATGGTTTGGATCATCACTTTGCAACATGTCTAGAGGGCTTAACTACTCAACAAGTAAAACGTGAACAACTAGAATACTACTAACCTTGGAGGGGTGAATGCCAACATAGACACTAGCACCGTTGGCCTTCTCACGCTGAATCCTCTCGATGTAAATTACAAACTTCTTTCTGTATACCTGGACCACTTTGCCAACCTGCTGGCCTTTGTAGTGTCCCCTCACAACCTGCAAATTATGATAAGAAAAATTAGTACTTGCAATAAAGCTCACTCAAAACATTAAAACGCAGCACAACCAAGCACAAAGCTGCTAGACAAGACTTGGAGTCACCTACCTGGACTTCATCATCTTTCCTGATGGGCATGGACTTGACACTGTATTTCTGTCTAAGTTCCTTGGAGAGGGGAGCAGACATGAGCTGCCTCCTGACGTGAGAGGGAGCTGTGAAGTGCCTCTTGCGGCTCTTCTTGCGTGAGGCGGACACTAACTTGTTAATCTTCATTGTGATAGGCTGAAACAATAAGGTTAGGATCCAGGTTAGGGCAGTTGCAATATAAACATTGATCAACTTCGCAGTTAGTGGAAACTTGTGACAATTGCGGAAAAGTGCCTTGAACGAGTCGTGGAAAAGGGGAGGAGGAAAGTGAAACAAAAAGTATCAAGAGACCAGAGAACTGGGAGAAACACAAATAACGCCGGCGCGTTACAGTAAACTTAACCTACAATCTGCATATGATAGTGAACTTACAGGGTTCACAGAACACACTGCCGGACGACCAGCGGTCACAAATTACAAGTAAAATGCAAGTTTTGAGAATTGTTGGGAGCGTATATTTAATACAGGTGGTGATTGTGCTCGTTCAGCCACATCCACACACGTTTACATGGCCATCGGCATTGCACTTCAACACTGCAACTTATCAGGACGTTCCGGAAAATCGACGTCGTAAGGTGTTATCAGAGTCCTAAATACTTATCCACGTCGTTCAAGGCACAAATATTGAACGTATAAATTAGATTAATTTGGATTAAATTGTACTCACTCGCCTGTCCAACACAAGGGACCAAACAGTACAGACCGGAAGGGAATAAGAAAGAATATTTTCTGTGGCCGTGTTCTTAATGTTTTTCTCTCTGGCAGTGGAAGCGGATGCTAGTGCGCCACCTATCGGCCAGCGTTTCTTCCCGTTAAGCCCCAAACTGATTTTCTTTCTCAAAAACAGAGTGTTCAATGCAATCAGTACATAAACGCAATATTTAAATTCTCATCACTATGATTTTGATAGTCTTAATACCCTAAACCTAAACAATCTTTCGATGTGGCCTCTTCCCCCTCCCTCCTCTACTTCTTCCCCC